CTAGCCTCAACATAATAATAATATACAATCAGGAGTGAAAACTTTATTTATCTGACATTCATCGTCAGCTAACTTTTCGTTGTTTAAAGGCTGTTGTATACTTTCGATATAAACAAGCGCATGCACGCTAAGAGGTTGTAAGATATATTAGATCATATAGACTAATCAGGTTCTAAGAATAATATTTGTTTACAAGAAGTTAAGAAAAAGTGTCCATATAATTAGTGTATTCATTCCAAAAACATGTCATACAGGAGACGCTCCTGCAAATTTATATAATCCATTCGTGTTCATACATTATTATATATTAAAATGTAAATATATTTAATATTTATATATAATTATAAATATATAGGAAATAGAGTGTACAATAAAATAGAACGAAACCTTGATAGTTAATAAAAAACTAGTGTCGCATATCATGAGCAATCAACCATTGTTGCTAAAAATGTACAATACTAAAGTACCAAAATCTGGCATCAGCATTTTTATATACTTCATTATCTTTTCAAAAAAAAAAAATCGTTTTCATACAAAAATAAAAGTCATCATTATTCACTATTCATCATTTTGTTTCACATTTCAATAATTCGTGCCAAAAGACACTGGATTACAAAATTTTGAAGTAAATTCATATTTACTGCAAATATATGAATAAAGGTGAATTTTTTTGAAATATTCTAAAACCACTTAAACAAAAATATAATTATAGAAACTTTCAAGCAAGTTTAAAACTAATTTACTTTCTGCAAAATCAAATTAAAATTTATCATTTTTAATATTCGTGACCAATTATCGTTACTTTTTTATTCACAAATAATAATGTCATCTTCTCTCCACGGTAAAAAAAATTTTTGTGGTCCAAATATTATTTTTTTAAAACTATTTTTATAAAGTTTATTACAATTGTGTGTACTACAAAATTATTCTTTTTATTTGAGTATTATGAATGATAAAGAATAATTGACAATTGACGAAAAAATCTGTTTATTTTTCATTTTTTTAAACTAATGTTTTAAGCTCATCTAAAAATAAATCTACACTTTGCGATCACATGTTCAGATACTTTGAGAGAGCAAAATGTTAAAAATTTATAGGTTTATCTAAATTTTCGCTTACTAATAGTAAACATTTTACCGTTTTAATTTGTGTACACAAAAACTGAATGTGTAGAGAATCTCTACTAAAGATTGAAAGTGATTTTTGGTACTCATCGTATATTTGTAGATATTTTCTACGTTGACTAAGCGTAATAGATGTAAAATTTAATAGCAGCAAATAACTGATTAAAATGCCTAAAGTCATGAAACCGGTATAAATAAATTTTTATAAAATCGCTTTATGTATATAAGTCATCAGTATATATGTGTGAAAATGCAAGTGTGTGCACTATTAAATATTTTACAGTACTCCCAAAAATCTCTTTGCCAAGTTATAAGCAAATAATAGTTACTGGTGACACACTTATTGCGGCTTGAAGACAGACCATTCATAAATAAAAGCCTATTACTATAAATATTTTAAAATCAAAGAATAAATAATGATTCTGAATCAAGGGTACACTTAAGCTAAGACAAATTTGTAGATTCAATATTATTTGTCATCAAACTTTTGTGAAGTTCGTAAGTAGAAACGAACTTTAAGATAAATATAACTGTCGGTATGGTAACAAAATACAAGCTGACTTATAAGTACTTAACTACACAAGAAATATAGAATTTAAATATTCTGATAAATATTTGTAACTTAATACAATACTCAGAATACATCGTTATTACCATGTAAATTTAGTTACAGATGTAAATTTGAAAGAAAAATACGATCTTTCATTCTCATTAACATAAAATTATATGCTAGAGTGAAACACACCTTTACAATAAAAATTTCATAAATATTTTAAACATTACTAGTGTAATTTACTACTTAATAAAGGGTTTTAATAACTAAAATGCTTTTAAACCAGCTTTACATTTACAGTTAGCAAAGAGTAAAGTTCAAGTTGATTTTTTCTATCTGCAGTTACATACAATATTAATACAGATATTGTTCTTTGCATATCCTCAAAGTTCAAAGTGAACCTAAAAACTAATTGACTTCCATTGAACAATATATCACGACACTGGCCTCATGAAAGTTGCAAAATAAATTATAAAACGACTGGTGCTCGATAGTACTTAATACATTGACTTTTTTTTAACAGAAATAAATAAATTTTTTTTTATAATTGCTGATCAATACACTTACATTTCGATGTAGAAGACTGGCATGTAAAACTTGGGCCTGTGAACTGCATATTGAGTACTAGATGTATACAAAAATGGTTCGACCAAGAGCAATCTGTAGTGCTATCGTATGGGTGAAAAGGAGAGAACACAAGAAAAAAAGTAGTGTGTATTAGCATAGCAAGAACAATACTAATCTGTTCCATAGAAGCATTAGAAGAGCATAGTAGTACAAAAAGTAGCTCGAGTAACTACAATAAGGATTGGAGAATGGCTGCAGTCTCCAAAGAATTGCCTCTACGAGACACGATTTTGAGAACCAATTAGAAGTGATTTTGAGTACCAAAAATGAATAGAGCAATATTGATCGTGCATATTCTTTTAAAGAATCGATAATTAGAACTGAAGAAAGAAGGAATATTAGAACCAGAGGGAAAATATCATAGCATATTTCTATTACATATACATGCCTTAGGAAGATGTTTAATGCCTACAATGCTTATAAAAGGCGGGACATAACCATAATATTGCAGACTTAAGTTTGTATGAGGTTGACTTGAAGTTGGTAAGCGACTGTATTAAGAATCAACTAGACATGGATAACAAAGTCAGTCTTTACTGGGTTTCTGAACATACAGAGATATTGAGTAAGATGATAAATTTGCTAAAAGCTTTTTCAATGACAATGAAAAGGCCTAAACCTTAAGGCAGGAAGGGTAGAATAGTATAAGATATAAAGAAAAACAGAAGATAAAAAATATATGTATGTCAAATATATGTATGTAAATTAGTAAAAGTTTAATAAAAGAAATGTATAAAAGGCGAATTTTACACATTTCTTTTAAGCAACATTTAATTTTTATTCAAAACAATAATAAAGTATTTAAATATAGGGGGCGTCTATCCCCCTGCCCCTTCTGTTTTCGTTTTTCATTGTTTAGCTATTACAATAATATATCTAACAGAAAAACAACAAATAAATCTATTACACACGACTAAAGCCTTAAATTTCTGGTTTATTGAGTGCATTGATATTATAGTTTCAAAAACTATTTTACGTTTTGACAAAATGCTGCTCCCAACTCCCATTAAAGTTCCATTAATCGGAAAAAAGTCAAACTAAATAAGCTCACCTAAAAATGGAATTATCAGGATGAAGCACCAAATAAAAATATACCTTTTTCTTTGGATAACTGTTAAGTGAGGAGTATTCTGTACTCAGAACAAAATAAAGTACCTTTTACTATCAAACACACTATCTTAACATCTTGTACCCCACGTCATTGTTGATAACCATACTTTTAAAATGGTTCCCTCGAAGCAGTCTTTTAAACAATAATTACATGTTCTGTAAAATCGAAGATCGTACAACCACTGTTGTAGGGCTATATACATATAGATATATTGTATCTAGATATATAATAGATACATACTATAGATATATTAGTTATTCCTGAACAAACCAATAAAAAAACCATAGTGCATAAATTAGGTTTATTAATAAACATAATAACTTCTTAAAGTATTTAAAATTTAGTGCTCTTTGCATAATATATCACAATTGAGTCATGACGAACGAATATATAAAATATTTATATTAGAGACAAGAAAGTTTTTCTTGGCAACGTGCTTCATGCATCCACACCCATAAAATTGTAAAAACAACCCTTGTTGCCAGGCGCTGAATCACGCCACTCTTGCATGTTGGATGTGGGTGACATTATTCGTAAGCCAGAGTAACAAGTAGATAGCAAAATATATCAATTAGGATAGGGTATGGTTTGGGAACATGAATATTTTTTATTACAATATATTTCTTTTAGATTTTAAATAAACTTTATTTAGGGTTAAATTTTGTCTAATATATGAGAAAAGAGAAAAGAAACTAAAACTTAAGACTTTTTGCCATAATTACTTTAAATACACTACAAATACACTAAAAAAATGTTTAAGGCAAAAGTAGATAATAATAGTAATAGTTAATGATAGTTATCGTTTATAACTCTGTGAGGTCAGAGAAAGACTTTAAAGACGATTAAAAAAAGAAAAAATTCAAAGTATTCGAAAATTGTGTTTGGTGCCTTTTTTTGTCATTTTATAAAAAAAAACATAAACGAAAATATTTTTAATAAAAGTAACGATAAGTAAAACTAATAAAACTGGATTAAAAATATACATTGAAATTATTATTTTTAATTAAAATTTTTCTTAATTCGCAAAAGTAAAAGTTAAACGCAACAAAAACTAACTTGCTTCATGTGGACATCACATGTAGGCAAGCAGGTGTGCTGCCTTAAACCGGCAAGCAAGTGCAATGATAATTAGCGAAAAAGAGGACGTAAAAGGAAAAACAACACAAATATCCCCAGAGAGCACAACGACCTATGCTGACGAGAAAACTGGAAAATTTCACAACAAAAAATAGTTTCACAAAGAAGTTAATGCAGTCCCTATTAAAATATGATATTGATTTTTGATTTCGGTATGCTTAATATACCATACAATAATTGCTTTATATACAAACTGCACAATAAATTTATTTCCATATAAATGATTTGCATTATTTACAAAAGCTTGTGTTGGATAACAAATATTTTGTGCAATAATTTAATCAAATAGAGATGAGTGATTTAGTCATAATAAATATACAAATATATGAAAATTAACAAAAGACACCTTTCACCTTAGCTTTTAGAAGAATAGAAAATATGTATAATTTGTTTATTGAATTATATAAATGCTTACAGATAACAAATAAAATTGATACATAAAACTTACCAAAAGTTAATTTGTAATTCCTGAGAGAATAACTTCAATCAGTAGGGTGTGTAAAATCGATTAATTACACAGGTTTCCACTTTTTTGCGGTTCCTCCGCAGACAGGTTCCCAACACAAATAAGTTTTCCCTTATTTTTCTTTTGCACTTCAACTCAATATTTTATTAAAAATCACGTGTTATAGAACAATATTTTTCTATTATTATTTTATTAAACAAATTCACTAAGAAATATATATATATATATTCAATTTTTCCATTCATATGCGCCGATAATAAAAACACCAACTTTCCCCCATAAAAGTTGGATGAAACTGACATATGAAAATTTTCATCTGCTCTCTTCTCATTATTCGTTTTTGTTGTTTTTATTATCAGCTGACTAGATAATATGCTCGAGATAAAAGCAGAGTTGTACTTTGTGTGTTCATTAAGCTTTATTTCTTTGACAAGCAGTGTTAATATAATTTATTTGTTAAGTATCAATTTAAAATTTTTCTCATTATATACTATAATATGATATAGGTCGTGTGCGTGTTCGGGTAAATTGAGGTAAAGTAAATTTCCTATGGATTTTTTGCACTGAACTTATATGAATATATAAATAAATATTTATTTACTTATTACAGTTTTTTGTTAGTTTTGGTAAAAAGTTTTGAAATTTATTTATTTATTTAAACATCTTATAAATTTTTAACAAGGTAACACCTAATTTACCTATTTTTTATCTAATTTACCCTACTCGAAATTTTGGTAAATTTCAATACTCGCTGCCATAACGACATAATTTACTATTTCCCTCAATTTACTCAAACTCGCAAACGGCCATAATGATAAATCTGGCAAATCAACTAATTAACAAAAAAATTAAATGTGAGCAACAAATTTTTCCCAAAAAGAAATCGTGGAATTCGCTATGACTGGAGTTAATAATTAATTTTCCATAGAGACCGGTTGAAATTATATATGAACAGAAAGTAAATAACAAAGAGATTTGAAAATCGGTGTTATAATTTTATACGGGGGGACGTGGGGATCTATTGGCTTAATAAGTTATCTAAAAATTACCGAAATTCAGAAAGTCAGCCTGATTGGGCCTGAGAACACAATGGAATGCAGAACATATATATAGTTTATGTGATCAATCTATGATCCGTACAAATATTCGTGTAATATATATAGTTTAATTTATTCATATATGATCCGGGTAAATATTAGTGTAAAATATATATTGTTTAATGGCTCAATATATTTTAATATAATATAATATGTATTATATTTTCGTTGCTAATTTAAAAAAAATTGCATAAATATTAGAAAATGAATTTAGATTTTACTGAGACTTTAATATTTATTAGTTTTAGCTAACCGGACAGTTACAAGAATATCAAATCCATTGATTGAACTATGTTTAATTATTCTGTATTAAAAATTTCTTTTCTAATTCAATTGTGATTGTATATATACATATATCGTAACGTGTAAATGAAAAGTAATATCTGTAGATATAATTTTGAGTTCATGAATTTCTTTATATTAATGAATTCAAACACTCTTTAGTAAACAAAATATTTGAAATTAAAACTTAAAGTTACAATATTTAATATTTTTTATTGTCTCTTTTTTCCTTGGCGCGAATTAGTTTAATAACTATGACTCTAAACTACATAATGAACTTTATACATTGTGCAATTTCTACATACATATGCAATAAAAATAAATTGTAAACAATACATAATAGTAACATAGTAATGGTAAAAAATGAACAATTTCCAAACAAATCAAACCGCCAAAAAGAAGAAGTCAAAAAAACTTAGAAACGTCGGCGACACTAAATAAAAAATATTTAACATTCTAACTTTGTGTTCTAATATTAAATATTTTGTCCAACAAAGTCATTTTAAATTCATTAATAAAAACTAATATCATAGCCTATATATATGTAGAGTAAACATATTATTCGTGATAAGCATAAAATTTTAACTATTCTTAACTAGAATTAAAGATTATTATCATTAAAAAAATTTTTTTGTCTTTTATATTTTGCTGATAAGCATTATTTTATTGAATTCTGTATTTTGTTTTAATTTATATAATTTTAATAATAATCTAAAATAAAAAAATCGTGTCTCTGTTGTATTATATCTGCATGGTTTTGTACTTTAATTTAGTTTAGCATACTAAAGAACAATAAAAAGTATCTTTTAAAAAATAAAACATATTAATTTGACATAAATTGAGTAATCTTAAAGTATTTTTTTTATCATTTAACATTTTATTCAAAAATAAAGCTTTAAATTAGTACAATGAAAGGTTAAGAGAGTTTCAGTGATATTTTTCTTTTTGTAAATTATTATTAAATGTCATAGTTGAAAAAAAATTATAGAATCGGCTTTAATGCTTTATTTAAGCTTACAGAAGTAAAGGGAAAATTAAACAATTTAAAATTGTATTTCAATGGAATATATAATATGGCAAAATACATAAATTTGATTTAAATAAAACATTATAAAAACAATAACAGCAATAGCATGTAGAAAAATATAAAGAAGACATAATTACTATACTATTTTAGGAGTTATTGCTAGACAATTATCATCTATATCATCGTTTTCATCATCTTCTCTTTCAATTTGTTCATCTAATGTTTCAAGTTTTTGATTTCTCATACGTAATTCAAAAACCTCACTAATAGCTTCTCGAAAACATAAGAAATTATAATCGATAACACCCTGACGATTGAAGTTTTCTTCCCTTAGTATACAAACAAGTGCCAAAAATTTGTTTACTTCACGTAAATATAGAATGGTATTATTGTTCAGCTTAATAAGACTAGAACTTTCATGGTCAAATGCTGTCTCTTCTGAACTGTAAAATATTTTATGTTACAAATATTATTATAAGTATTTAGTATTTTACTAACCTATATATACTGGACAAGTCTATTACAACGTCAATCATGTCACAGCATAATTCATAACCTTGCATATCAACTGGTGAGCAATCTGTAGCAATATATATTTTCGACACAACATCAAAGAGAAATGCTTTCTCAATGCCTGAATTCTAAGAATAAAAATTAATTAATTACGGTCTATAAGTATGTATTAACATATAAATATATATATTACCGATATAAATATATTAAGTAAGTTTTCAAGTGTAGGCAACTGAGGAATTAATTTTTGCACAACTTTTGAAAACGCTTCAAATATAGAGTGATCATATATGGAAGTCAAATGGAAACTTAGATGTATTAAATTAAGCCCAGCATCAGCTAGATCGTCAGAAGCTCGTTGATGTATATCACGTTGTGATTCCATTTTTGAATCGTCACTAATGCCATCAACCTAAAAATTTTAATTAAGAGTGAATATTGAAATATACTTATAATTCCATGCCACCATTTTTTTTTAATATGTAGATTTTGAAATAAATTAACTTATTTCAAAATAAATTAACTTATTCATATTTATATTCATATTATTAAAAATCATTTATATTTAAGGGATATAACAATTTAATACAAGATAGGCACTTCCCGTTATCACATTTTTGCATTTTGTTTTGAGGCCTGTTATGTGACTTATCAGGAGTTGTGAAAAACAACATATGTTGTGTTCTCATAGCAATTAATATACACAATAAAATGACTAATAAATTCGTTAGCAGATATCGATATTGAATGTGACGTACCTTATGTATAAAAACTTCAAACTTGATTCGTGGGTTGACTTTATAGGCTTTGATTACAGTGTTCTTAAATTTAGTTAAAGCTTCATTATAATCATCTTTTGCATCAATTACAAACACTAAAGCTCCGCAACCACCAAATATCATATCAGAATCAAATGTCGGATCAATGAAGTCAATTTGGCCAGGAAAATCCCATATCTGAAACTGCACAAAACTGGAGTTGTTGATATCATCTTTTACGATTTTACTCGTCGATTCCAAGAATAATGTCTCATTTGGTGACATTTTATGAAAAACAACTTTTTGTATTGAACTTTTGCCAGACCGCCGTAGACCCATTAATAATATACGAGGCTTTGATTCACTGCTACCTGAATTTAAACCATCTTCATCAAATGCACCGTAACCGAAATCTTTTGGAAACGTATCCACGTGATAATCATCATCGTCTTCGTAGCTCTATAAAAAAAATGCGTATTACAATTAGGGCGGTTTCTGATTGTTTTGGACACAATGAATCTTTACTTACCATATTTCCTCAGTTATTATTTCTAAGTAAATTTGGCCTATACGTTTGCATTTGAAAGCTTTATTGCTTAAGCGATGATTACCCCTCACAAAACTATTGTTTTAAAAGAAATTAATCCCTTTCCAAGTTTACAATTTCTAAACAAAAGTCAACCACTATTCATTTTTATCTCATCATTTTTCAGCTGATCGTAAAGGCTTGCCATTACTTATTAAACACTCAATTATAAATTTTATTTTAAAATATCATACATTATTTGTGTAGATGTGCACTTTTTTAGTCCACATAAATTTAAATTTGTACGCTTTATAAAATAATATTATAATTTATACGCAATATATGTTACATATATCGACTAATGGATGATATATTTTGTAAGGTGTACATTATATTGACATTACGGCAACTCTAAGATGAGACAATTTGTGAATGCATTCCACAAAGTATCATCCACACATCAGCTGGAATTGAAGTAGCATGTAATGAACTAGTTTTCGTTGCACAATAGTAAATCAAGTGAGAGCTTTGTATCACGTTAATAGTGGTTATTTAAACAATTAAAACTAAGTTATGTCGGCGCGCAATTTAATATTAATGGGGCAATGTCTGCCATGCATAAAAAAGAATGCTGCCAAAATACGCATACGCCGTATGGAATTGGATACGAACTTAAACATGGTAAACATTTTATATACCATCGATATACATTTTCTAATATAAAAACATTTTTAGTACTTTAAAAAAGATGAATATATTTTTGCTCATGATCCGCAACAACTTTGCAAATCTGGTGATATAGTTTTAATAAGAGAATTAGCAGAACAATTGTCCCGGCTAATAACACATAAAGTCGAAAAAGTTGTATATCCACTTGGAAACATAACAGATCCTATCACTGGTAAAAAGGTTGTGGTTAGTAAATACCGCGAGGATATAGAAGCCGCAAATAGTTTATATGGCAAATCCGAAAAAGGTTTTGATTATGAGAAGGCGCCGCAACGTGGTCGTCTTGAAGGTACTAAAGACTTTACTCACGGCGAAACCTACATTAAATACCATGAAGATGGAAAAGATCAACCATTTGCAGTATAATATTTAATTTTTTTTATTATAATTTGTATGTTAAATTAATAATTATTTTATAATAAATTAATTTTATTATGTTATTTCAAACTGATGTGTAGCAAAATTTTTGCAGGATCTAACGTCATGTTATATAACCAAGATTGGCAAAATATAGCATGTAGTGTGAAGGTTTTTTAAGTGTTTAGTTTTATCGTTTCTTGTATAATATATGTGCAATAAGTAAATCTAATTTTACGAGCTAACTGAAGCTCCGAATATTCTGGTGTTAGTGTATGCTTATACTCGAAGATTTGACCAGAGGTCAGCCAGCCGCTCATACATATCAAGACGATAAGATGAGTTTCAGTTTTTATATGCCATGGTCATATGTATTTCAATAACCAAGAAAAGTAATATTAAACATTGAGAGGATGAGCTGTTATCTTCTACAAGCTAGAATATCTTTAAGGATCTAATATCTTCGAGTAGCTCGAACATCTTCGAGTAGCTCGAACATCTTCGAGTAGCTCGAACATCTTCGAGTAGCTCGAACATCTTCGAGTAGCTCGAACATCTTTGAGTAGCTCGAACATCTTCG